TACGTGGCTTCGCCGGAGCTGACGTGGATAATTTTTGAATATTTTTTTCTCAATGTCGACGAGGGTCACTGGCGACCCTCGTCGGCTGTGAAGGCCTCTTCTAGATTGGGTGAGGGCCGCCTTGCCCTTGGCTGCGAAGGCCCTGGGCAAGGCCGTCACCAGATCTAGGCGGTTGCGGGTGAGGTGGCCTCGCCAGATCTGGCGAGAGCCTTCGCCGCCTCGCCCGTGGCCGCGATGGCCTCGCCAACGGCTTTCGTGACGGAGGGCGAGGCAGCCTTGCCAGATTTGGCGAGAGCCTTTGCCGACCGACAAGGCCGTGATGGCCTCGCCAAGGGCCTTCGCGGCCATATCGGCCGATGGCGAGGCAGCTCTCGCCAAGTTTGGCCGAGGCCTCTGGCGAGGGTCACCGTCGACCCTCGCCAACCTTGAAAGAAAAAGGAAAAATAAGAAAGGAAAAGAAAAAGAAATAGAAAATTTTAAAAAATCAATAAAACCAATAAAATAAAATAACATTAAAAAAATCCACGTGAGATGATTTGCCAGAAATGGCATTTAAGTGATCAATTTTACTCCGATGTGGTACTTAAGTGAGCGAAAAAAAAATTATGGCACTCAAGTGAGCATTGTACCAAAATTATGATACTTCTAATGTCCTTATCCCTTTACCTTTTATCGCATCCCTTGATAATTCGATTTCCCGATTACACCCTAGCGGCTCCAACAAAAAGAGCAAAAAGCTAGAAAAGAAAAGATGCCGTGGCATTTTTAATTTCCAAGAATTAGACAGAAAGAAATAAAAAAAGTAAAGCAGCCTAGACACCTCTCCTCAAGTCGACACGTGTCCCCCACCCAGATCGCTTTTCAAGGTTGACGCTGAAGTCCAGTGGGCATTACCGAGTGATCTGTGTCTTCAGTCAAATCAATATTAATCATCCCACTAACAACTTGCAAAAAGATTACAAAAAATCTCAAATTATGTCCACCATGACACTTTCGCCTTAATTTTTTTCTTATCACTTAAAATATCCCGAACTATGTGACATTTTTATCCTTCATCAAAGTTCCGTTAGATGATTTTTCAGCCAAAATAACGTCGTTTTTATTTCACTTAAGTCACGTGAGTGCTGTGTCAACACTATTTGTTTTCTGGCATTCATGTAGGCAGATTTTTAACAGTTCTCATTGATAAAACTTTGAAAGAGGGTACATGTGTCGCACAAGTACAAGTTTAGGATTTTTGGTATCATAGAAAAATGGGGAAAATTACAAAAAAAGTCATAAACCTTTTGCAGTTGTGCCAATTTAGTCCTAAACCTTTTTTTTAGCCAATTCAGTCCTAAACCTTTTGCAAACCAGCCAATTCAGTCCTTTTGGCCGGCTGGCGCTGACGTGGCCGCCGGTCGACTGACGTGGCGCCGGCCGGCCACCACGTGGCAATATTTTAATATATTTTTTATTATTTTCGAATTTTTTTTTTCTTTTCTTTCTCTCCCCTGGCCTGTCCGGCCAGGGGGGAGGCTCGCCGGCGAGGGCCCAACTCCGGCGATGCGAGCTAGGCCCTTGCCGGAGCTGGGCGAGCTTGCCATGGCTGGGCGAGGGCGGAGCTCGCCATGGCTGGGCGAGCTCCGCCTCACTGGAGCTGGGCGAGGCTCGCCCAGCGGCAGCGAGGGCCCAGCTCGCCATGGCTGGGCGAGCTCCGCCCTCGCCCAGATCTGGCGAGGCGGAGCTCGCCATGGCTGGGCGAGCTCCGCCCTCGCCGGATCTGGGCGAGGGCGGAGCTCGCCTTGGCTGGGTGAGCTCCGCCCTCGCCCAGCGGCGGCGAGGGCCCAGCTCGCCTCGCCGGAGCTGGGCCCTCGCCGGCGAGCCTCCCCCCTGGCCGGACAGGCCAGGGGGGAGAAGGAAAAGAAAAAAAAAAAAATAAAAAAATTCGAAAATAATAATAAAAAAATTAAAATATTGCCACGTGGACGCCGGCCGCGCGCCACGTCAGCCGGCCGGCGGCCACGTCAGCGCCGGCCGGCCAAAATGACTGAATTGGCTGGTTTGCAAAAAGTTTAGAACTGAATTGGCAAAAAAAAAAGGTTTAGGACTGAATTGTCACAACTGTAAAAGGTTTAGGACTTTTTTGGTAATTTTCCCTAGAAAAATGTTTAGGATAAATGTGTTACGGTGAGCATAATTTAGAGTTTTTAGTGGCTTTTGCCATAAAAAAACCGATAAACATAAGCTTATAATTAAGGATTTTTTTATGAGTCAAAAGGTTGGAGGTGACTACGAGTATCGGCGATCTCCTTAGACGTTACTATATAGTTTCGTACTTACGGTCAGAATGTTCAGTTTGAACCATGACTATTATTCATCTTGAACAAACCCTTTGTCTAGCACTACCGGATGCGAGTTGGGGTAAAGCGAAAGTGATCCTTACGCTTGAAACATACGCCGTGGAGGAACAAGGATCATTCATAAATTCGAGAAGTGATTGGGAAATTCGAAATTGTGATCAAGGGAACTCCAAATCACTTAGGAGTACCTTAACTAACTCAGCCAACCATCCATATGGTAAATAAGGATTTGATTTGAAGGCAACAAATCCGACGTTGGATTTATGGATACCCTATTCAAAATAATCTTTCCACTACACTGTGCCTGAAGTCTAATACAATGCACCTTGAACAAGCGATTCATGTCTAATAATTGAAATTAATTAGGTGAATTTTTTCGGATTCTCTGCTTTACGAAAAAAAGAAGAAGAGATACTGAGAGTGAAAGTCCTAAAACTTGTGTCATTGATCCTTCACATTAGTCTTAAAACTTTGCTTGAGTCATTTGAGTCCTAAAACTTGTTGTCGCCCTTCGAATTAGTCCTTCTATTAACTTCCAATTGACGAAAAAATCTGAACTAGCTTTTTTTTTTTTTCGTCTACTTGGCGGTCATTTAATAAGGGGAGCTTGTTAAGGTTCGAAACAACTTTGTTTATCACAAAATGATGTCATTTTGTATTAAACTGCCAATTTTGATGAAAATTTAGGTAAAATTCTTAAACACAGGGGGAGGGATCCCATACGAGGATGCGTGCAAGAAGGGGGCGGCGGGCCCTCACTGGCGGCCTCAAGTGCCCTCGCTTTGTTGTGGCCACGGCCGTCCTCGCCCCTATTGAGCTAGGGTCGCCTGGAGCTCGCAAGGGCTACCCTGGCCTAGCTCCCCAATCCTTCGCCGACGATAAATGGTGCGCCCTTTCCAATCCTCACCCTCCTATCTCTCTCTTTGTTTTATACAAAAAGATTTTCTTTTTCTTTAAATTTTTGTCTTCTTTAAATTTTTCATTTTTTGTCTGATTTGGCATCATATTAGTGCTATTTGTACAAAAAAAAAAAACAAAAATGACAAAAATGCCACATGAATTTTCTGTCCAAGAAAAATGTATGGAAATAATGGAAGGACTAACGCGGAGAACAACTCAAGTTTTAGGACTTAAACGAATTAAAAGAAAGTTTTAGAATCGAAGTGACAAATTAACACAAATTTTAAGACTTTATTACTGTGATTACCCTGCAAATGCAAACGAAAGTTTCTGGTCAGCATTTTGTTTGGCCGATAATTTTTTTGTTCTTTTGCCAGATATTTGCTTGATACGGCAAGAGATGGTCAACATCATCAAGCCATCGTGATGGACAGGTGAAGAGGAGGCGGCGGAAAACCTAGCTTGCCGAAGAAGGTTACCGAGCAAAAATGACTACATAATCGCCAAATACGCAGTTTAAGACATAAAAGTATATCCATCTTTATTGCTATAAATTGTACGTGTGGATTTTCATAAAGTTTGGTACCAGCGTAAGAAAAAACGTATTACACGCTCGTCATTGAATGATGGACATGTGGGAGAATTTGATTACAAAACCAACTTCAAACACGCATGTCAACTGTCCAACGATAAATGTAAGTTATTTTTAACACCAAAAGGGAAAATCCCGTCTCATTTTCCTCCTGAAAGGAAGAGTCCATGAAATAAATAAGCATCGTTACTAAATATAAAAATTAAAATAAGTTGTAGATAAGTTTTTAACCACTAGTGCATAGAAAGAAAGACTCACGATTATAAAATGGGCCCTAAAGGCAAGAGGGAAAAGGTAATGCTAGGTATAGTATATCTGAACTGTTAATTGATATAATAAGTAAGCGGATGATATTCAATTCTTGATAAAAATTTCCGTCGCATTACTTAATAATTAAATTTAATAATTGATTTTAGTATATTATTCTTGGTCATATTAGCTATTAGAAATGGATATTTCGAGGGAAAATTGATCTTTAATTAATCCTGGAATTATGATTTTCAATTGATAAAAAGTCCAGTCCATCGGTCGGCACCTCCTCACCTGCTAGGAAGACCATAACTGGGGCATCTCTCAAAGCGGAGGTATCTGCAGTTCTATCGGACCATGATAAGAAATCATAAGAAAGCACGCTTTGTCACATTGTGCTCTAAGGTAAATAGAGATGTAGTCTCCAAAAATGTTGTCAAGAGTAATGCTAAAGATGCTAAAAAAGTTTAGTAAGTAGAATGACTAGCTTGAAATGGGCATTCGAATAACTAAGTCTAATGTCGAAATATCGCGTTATACGTAATGAGAGACATTTCAAGAAGATCTCTCTATTCTATTTATATTACATAAGCAGCCTCTGTATTTGTGTTTATACAAATTAACCTAGGGTGAGCAAAATAGGCATTCGACACTTAAAAGAATTTATCGTTTGTGCTTCCGGAAATAGCTTAGGAAACCACTTATTTTTCATCAAGATTAATCTGACAAAAGAAAGAAAGAAAAGAACGTCATCAAGACTAATGAAAGAGAAACCTCTTACTAATTTTGAGAGTTTTCTTGTAGACCCATCACATCATCCATCTAAAACAATGCAATGCGCACAAATAGCTGACTAGGGGAACATGTTAATATCCAGCAAAACCTACCAGGGTTTCCCCTTCCTTCGTTAGAGGATAATAACTGTTCCCCTTTCTATCTCCTTTTTGTACCCTAACTCTTGAGCTCCTTAAGAAAGTTTGCTCGGCTCTTAACCAGAACTAGAAAATATCAGAGAGAGAGAGAGAGAGAGAGAGAGAGAGAGAGATGGGGAGAGGGAAAGTTGAGCTGAAGAGGATAGAGAACAAAATCAACAGGCAGGTCACATTTGCGAAGAGAAGAAATGGGCTTCTCAAGAAAGCTTATGAGCTATCTGTTCTCTGCGATGCTGAGGTCGCCCTCATCATTTTCTCCAACCGTGGCAAGCTCTATGAATTCTGCAGCAGTTCTAGGTATTCTACTTATCTACTTTTTCTTATCTCTTCTTTTTCCTCATACCGCAAGTGAATTCTCTCTCTCTCTCTCGCTTTCTCTTTCCTTGTTTCGTTCTTGATGGATTTTCTCTTGTTATTTTTCTCTTTATTTTCCTGTTGATCAGTCAAGTTATATCCTGCTAATTTTTCCGTTTCTTCCTGCTCATGTCTCATGTTTTTTTCTAGGGTCTTTCGGGGTTATTTTTCTCTCTTTTGTTGTTTCGTTTTTTTCTTCTTTCAGAACCCTATTTTCTTCAGGATCTGGGTATTTCTTGACAAACTACATGATGCTATTCTTGCTGCAACTTGGCGAGGTTTTAAGTTGCCTTTTCTCATGTCAGCAACATATGTTAATTTTGCCCTAAAAAAGTCTTCACAATAATAACCCTTTGAGTTTCAGTTCTTCTTTTCCTTTGAAAAGGCTCCGATCTTCATGAAGTTAGGTTTCTTCGTTTTAGGGCTCGCTCTGAGCGTTGCACAGAACGTTTTTACTTGTAAGCAGACAGAATTAAACAACCTTGTAGCATGGTTTTTCTTTATTTCCTACTGTTTGTTCCCTTTTTGCCCTTTTGATTTGTCTTAAAGTTTCTTGTGCGTTCCATTATTAAAGAGAGGATTCCCAATTATGTCCATCAGTCAAGAAGCTGTCATATGGGAAATTGAAGGACAAAAAGCAGGAGCAATTAACTTGAATTAGTGTCTTATTGATGGATTTATTTAAAAAAAAAAGCAGAAAAACAGATGCAAGAAACTGAAATTTACTGTTATGATATGTTCCCCAGAGATGTGATGTCTTGCAGTGAGAGTCTGCTGCAATTCTGGTGGTGCAATTAAGGGAAATTTTCCAAAAGGAAGAGAGAAAGAGAGAAAAGGCTGCTGTTACTTATTTCCAAATATCTGGAAACCCTAAAAAAAAATAAAAACAATTTTAATTTTCTCTGTCAATCATCATGGAATTTTACATCATTTCAAATTTTCCTTCGGTTTGAAATAATTTTCTTTATTTGCAATTTTTTAAAGTGCACATTGGATCGACTTTTAATTCCATTTTATAGCCGACGAACCCTCTAGACGCCTAAGCAACTTCTCTACTCATAACACCTCCACTTCGGTTTATGTTGAACTAGTATCTTTCTTCCAGTTCTTATGAGGGGTTATCTTCAAAATAGGCTAATTTACCCATCTTATAAATTTATATTAGTCCGTTTCTCATGTTATTTAGCGTAGATCCTAATAGGGAGTGAACTCAAGATAAGAAAATATTCGGACAATTTACCATTCTCATATATATAAACTATACATACACACATAATAAAACCTGGACAAGGACGACATTCATCAAGGGGCAGATCTATGAAACCTCTCGTGATCTAATTGTTTTCATAATTGAACAACATGATAATACGATAAGTTAATCAATCAAAACGTTGTCAAATGGGGACATCCCATGAAAACTAACTGGCGAAGAACATATTATCAACATTGCTTAGAACTTAGAAAACATGTATTTTGTATCTGATGACCATATAGTATAAAAAGAGAATCAATGTTTTATCAACATGTTTTTTTTTTTAAACTCGAATGCACGTTTATGCCAATTTGGCCAATTTATATGCTCCTTGTATTTCTTTATAAAACCTTTTGCCTCGCCTACTGTCGGAGCCGCTCTATCATTCATGACACTAATACTTGAAGCGGTCGCCCTTGTTTGCAAAAGGCATACATTACGACAGCTTGAGAAGCTATACGCCCATCATGCATAATTTGTCCATTGGTTTATGAAGTTATGAATGCACAATAATGTGAAAATACATTGGTAAGTGATACGACTATTACAATGTATCATGCAACCTATGCCTTCATTGGCTTTCAAAATTAATTAATAGTTTCTCATTAAATCAACAACTACTTTGTAAAGCTTCTTTTTCGGATAATGAATACTCTGAAAGGAAATATTAATCAGTCGGACCAATTCTGCATAATTAGTTTTTATACATATGCAAGATCGCCGCTGCTCATCTCTTTTCTTAGGGGAAGATTACCCAATCAGTCTTAAAACTATCCGGCGAAAATTGACCGGAATGATTATATTGGCATTTTGTGCTAAGGTTTAGGACCGAACTTGCAAAATTAAAAAAAATTATGACTGAATTAGCATCCGTATAATAGATTGAGGACTGATTATATAGGTAGTTTCTCCCTTTCCTAATGTGCCCAATCAACTAATCATTTGATTGCAGAAATTATGATAGATCGAGGTCTTAAATAGAAGTAGCTTGAGCAAAACCACCTAAATGTTTGAACGTATAAATTGTCATTAGCAGTTTTACAAAGTAAATATGAATGGATTTGCTGAACATATTGAACATGGCTATACATCTACATGCATCTACATCAATACTAACATATATATATTGAAATTGCTAAATGCTGGAGCTAATATAAAACTTGTGTGTGTTATCGTTTCTTCTCTGTTTGTGATTCTTTTCTGGTCATATACCTTATGGCCTCTCTTCCCAATTTGTCTCTTGGACATCCTTAGCATGACGAAAACAATTGAGAAGTACCAGAAGTGTAGCTATGGTTCACTCGAAACCAACTGCTCCATCAATGAGATGCAGGTATAGCCCCTTTTTTTAACTAATTAATCATGTTTCCGTCTCTAATCACTAAACTGATTACCACCATTTAACCTAATCATTCCCGCCTTCTCCGAAAAATATTATACGACTCTTCTTAATAGCTCCATCATTTTTGGCTTGAACAGAACAGCTACCAGGAGTATTTGAAGCTACAAGCAAGAGTTGAGGTTCTCCAACGATCTCAGAGGTAGTTTTCCTGCTTATACTAATGAACTCACAATCTCATGTTGGTAATTAATTAACTAGAAAATCAGTATCCTCAAACGTTTTTCTCCCAAACTGAAAACGGAAAAAGGTTTTGGTGTTTCGGTTGGTCCGACTTCCTCGATGAATTTTGGTGTGCTGAATAAAGGTAACGACGTGATAGGATCCATAAGCCGGACCTGGATTAATGAGATCAGACTCGATCATTATCGTCATCGTTATAATATTCTTCGGGCTAACGCTCAATTTCGATTCATTAGAAACCTCCTTGGGGAAGATTTGGGTCCCCTGAACACAAAGGAGCTCGAGCAACTTGAGCACCAGTTGGAGAATTCTCTGAAGCAAATCCGGTCTACAAAGGTGATGAACACAACCCAAAAAATCGACGCTCAAATGTATAATTTGCTGACTATTTATACCATAAAAAATTCTCGTTGACTGTTCGTGTGTTATATCCAATGCAGACCCAATTCATGCTTCATCAACTTGCTCATCTTCAGCACAAGGTAAGTGTTGTATCTCGTGTGATTGTCACCGTGTTTTTTTTAATATAAAATTAACTGTAATTTAAGTTGTTGATTCTTCATATTTGTACCCAGGAACAAATGCTGATTGAAGCTAACAGAGATTTAAGGAAGAAGGTAATATCATTCCCTAAAGTTCATCTACACATATGTTGCGGTCGAACTCGATCGGATATATATGGCATTAGTTTCTTAAGACTGTCAGATCATTGCTAAAAAATATCAAATGTTACATCTTGTGAAACTAAAGCATCGACGTTCATGAGACATTATAGTTCAAGCTAGAGGCGAAAGTCTGCACTGATGATATTCACAGAAATTTTGCATCTGTTCGTGCTGCCGAAGCTCATTCTCCTCTAGATTCCATATTAGTTTCAAGCCCTTGATGCTGTTATTTAATTTGCTCTTGGACTGACTATGTTGTTCATCAGTTGGAAGAGAGCACTGCAAGAATCCCTCTCCGGCTTGGATGGGAAGCCGAGGATCACAATAACATGCCATACCACCGCCTTCCCGCGCCATCGCAAGGCTTGATCTTCCAGCCCTTAGGCAGCAATCCGACACTGCAGATCGGGTAATCCGATCTTTCACGCGTGGATCGATACCACATTTTTTAGGGTTTTTCTCCCCCCACTGAAAAATTTTCAAATAGATCATTTTGCTTCGATGTTACGACGTATCTACTTTTCTAATTCGACAGGTACAATCCCATGGGTTCGAATGAAGCGAATGTTTCGGCTGCTGACCAACATCCCAATGGATTCATTCCTGGGTGGATGCTCTGAATCGTTGCGCCAGCAGACTACTCGCTGGAAGCTTCGTATCAAATATATTTTCCGGTTCTTGTTATGATATATGACTCTTCCTCCGGACGACGGACACGAACGACGGTCCACCATACGCGGATAATATGCATGGAAGTGACATACCCAAAAAAGGACGGACAATATGAATCCAATCTAGCTAACTATGTTGTATAAGAATAAAGATCTGCTTTGTTGTGTCGCTGACGTTTGGAATTCATCTATGTTATTGATGTATTCGAATTCTCTTTTGATTGTGCATGTTTACTTTAGCGGCGCCATACATGATGTGTAGTTACCTTAACCATTAATATATCATACATACACACACACACACACAGCATGCATGACTATACCTTAACCAGCATTGTATATATATATGATATAGTCATGCATGTTGTGTGTGTGTGTGTGTGTGTGTGTGTGTGTGATATAGTCATGGTACCGTAAGAGTCTTTGCCTAACCCTACACTTGTTATATTCACGACAGAGACAATACCCTCTTAATATTGCAAAATGTCAAAAAGGTTAGACAACGCCCCCCGACAGCATTTAGGCGACCTAGATATTTTCGAATGTATTATTATTATTATTATTGTTTATATGGGTAGTGAAATGATTGAGTTAAACTCGGGAAATTTACCAACCATTTGTACGGACACCAATTCAGTTCTAAATTTTTTAATTTTGCTAGCTTAGTCCCAAACCTTTATGTGGATTTCAATGTAGTCCTTTGAGTCAATTTTCGCCGAAAATTACTTACGTTGCAGTGTAGTTATCACTGGCCGTAAAGACTACACTGGAATTTCGCAAAGGTTTAGAACCAGATTGGTATCCGTACATATAGGTTTATGACCGATTGAATAGTTTCCCCGGCTAAACTCAACAGGTCAAATTTCTTTCTGTTGACTTTTATAGGATGCGCTGGTACAATTAGAAAGAATCGGTACTTTTATAAGTTACAGTGTTTTTTACGTCGAGGAGCGTGATCCTAGTGGATGTTTTTTTCTATGCCCTAATTTTCCTAATCATAAAGCATCAAGAGCTTAAAATGAACGGGGAGACATTAGTGAGGAATGTTTAACTTTTTTAACTGGTCGAGGAGCGTGATCCTTGTGGATTTTTTTGTAATGGTTTGAATGGAAAATCTTAGGAGATTTCAAATCACAATTTTGTCCATTGGGAAAAAAGTATCAAGAGCTTAATATGAACGGGGAGACATTAGTGGGGAAAATTGTTCAAAAAGTCATAAACCTATTGCACTTTTGCCAATTTAGTCCTAAATCTTTCAAGTTTGCCAATTGAGTCCTAAATCTTTCACTTCTTGCCAATTGAGTCCATCCGGCAAATTTTGGCCGCCCGGAGCTGACGTGAACGCCGGTCGGTGTAGGCCGTCCGGTCAGAGGCGAGGGTCGGAGAGGTCGACCTCGCCGACTCTACCTCGTCGGCCTCTGGCGAAGCTCGCCCTAGTCGGCCCCTGGCTGGACGAGGTCGAACTTCGCCCAGCAAAGGCGAGGCCGAACTCGCCGTCATGACCCAGGCGATAGCGAGGTCGGCCTCGCTAGATCTAGGCGAAGTCGAGCCTCGCCCAGCCAAGGCGAGGCCAACCTCGCCGTCACCTGGGTCTCCCTTGCTTGGGTCACGACAGAGGCAAGGTCGAGCTCACCCAAATCTTGCGAGGCCGACCTTGCCGTCTCCGTCGCCTGGGTCAGGATAGCGAGATTGGGCGAGGTTTGACCTCGCCTAGCCAAGGGTCGGTGGGGACAAGCTTTGCCAGAGACCAGCGAGGTTGACCTCGCCGGCCCTCACCTCTGGCCTGTTCGACCTTGCCAGCACCGGCCAAAGGGAAGAAGGCCAGAAAAAAAGAGAAAAGGAAAAAAAATTAAAAAATTAAAAAATATAAAAAATTGCCACGTTAGCTCTTGGTGGCCAAAATTGGCCGGATGTACTCAATTAGCAAGAAGTGAAAAGGTTCAGAACTCAATTGGCAAACTTGAAAGGTTTAGAACTGAATTGGCAAAAGTGCAATATGTTTAGGACTTTTTGGACAATTTTCTCGACATTAGTGAGGAATGTTTAACTTTTTTGACTGGTCGAGGAGCGTGATCCTCGTGGATGTTTTTTGTAATGGTTTGATTGGAAAATCTTAGGAGATTTCAAATCACAATTTTGTCCATTAAGAAAATGACACGAATGATCCCTTAACTTTGACTCAATATTCAATGTCGACCCCGAAATTTTAATTATTTCAATATGGTCTCTAAATTTTAGCCTAATATGTAATATCTTTCTTCAACTTTTAATTTATTCAATACAATCTATGAACTTATTTAATTGACGTGTAATGCTGTTATACGTGACGTATAACGTTATTTTTTTGTCCGCCATTCAAACTAACCAGATTGGAAATCAAATCAACAAATTCTGTTAACTTAAATTAATGGAAGGATGACATTGAAATTTTCATATACTCTAGGGATTAGATTGAACATTTACCCAAAGTTCAGGGACCTCATTTTAACAAATTAAAAGTTGTGGGATGATGTTGCGTGTTGGGCAGAAGTCAGCGACCATTTGTGTAATTATTGGTCGCCCATTCAAGTCAATTATCGCATGTCTAAGTGTTATCATATTTAATCACTGGGGTTTGCCCCAGTGGCCACCCTTCCTACTTGGGAAGGGGGAGGTGGGAAGTTTGAATCCCTACCTTCTTAAGGGAGCTAGGGGTGAGGACGTGTAATTTCAGATGTGGGTTTCGACTTCCACACCATGCAAGAGGCAGTGCAAAATTCTGAGAGTGAGTTGAGAGTTAGAGTAGGATATACCAAAAAAAAAAAGTGTTGTCATATTTCTTGTGGTTTTTAATTCATTTCAAGCCCATTAAAAGCTGTGTAACCTGATGGTCCAGGCTTTGAGCCCACATCGAGCCCAATTAAGCCCTTAATAATCATTGGGCCAAGGAGAAATGGAGCCCATTGGGCTTGGCGCAACACCACGGAATAGAAGAAGCAATATGGGAAAGTAAAGAGACAATGAAGCGTAAGTACCTGCATCTATTCCAAGGATCATGTACATTTTGAAATTTCGGGGACGACATTTTTTTTAAGGGGTAGAGTTGTAACATCCACGATTCTAGCCGTGAGAAATAGCTATAGAATTGATGTGCCGATAGTGGGGCAAATCGACCATGGACCAATCCAAGGAATGGTCATGGACCGATTAACCCAATCGGAAGGGTAGCCAAGGGATCAACCATGGTCTGATTGAAGGATCGGCCTTGGAATGATCTGGGGATTGGCAGTGAACCAATCTAATGACCACGCAAGTGACCCGAGCTATTCGGTCATGGATCGGTTGCTCGACCATAAGGGTTGGTCGTGGGACGGTCACGTAGCACCGCGGATCGATGGATGATCATGGATCGATTCCGCGCGGTCCTATTCCGATCGCGGGTGATTCTGTACGGTCATGTACCGATTGTGGACGGCCATGGATTGATCCATGAGACCATGTGCCGGTCACGGAACAATCGATCCCACATAACTACATGACAACCGAGAGTCGGCCGCGGACCAAGTATGCTTGGCCATGGACTAGTCATGAACTGGCCATGGGCCACTTGGACGGGTTACGGACCGATCGTGGATCGATTGCGAATTGGTTCGGCTACCTTGCCGAATAGGCCATGTGCCAAGCCGTACGCTAAGTCTTGTGCCCGGCCATGAGTCGGCCATTTGCTTGGACTTGGACCCCGCCGTATGGCCATGAGCCAGCACAGGCACCGGCCAAGTGCCCGGTCTGCCCGTGGACCTTGTTACAAGGCCACGAGCCAGAACAGACATGGGTCATGCTCTCGGTCAGCCCGGTCCTATACCGGCCATGTGCCCGGCTAGGCTGAGGACACTACGGATAGGCCGCGACAAGGTCAGGCACGGGCCATGCGCCCGGTCTGTCCGGCCCTGGGCTTGGCCAGCGCCGGCCACGGTGCCCACGTCATGGGCCACCCCGACTTAGCCAATCAAAACAAGTTTGGCCACATTCGATGGTGACTCGGCTACGAATCTCGATTTGGTAGGCATGGTCGATCGTGGATGGACATGAGAAACTCATACGCGACCAAGTTGGTGCTTCCATTAGCTTAATTCTCATGCTTGCCATATTCTTGAAAATATGGACAAAAGAGAAGGCTCTAGAACATTGGCTATTAATGCAAGGGGGTGAATCATCATCTTATGTGGCCTAAGGAAGATTTGGTCATGATGGCTCAAAATTTGTCTTGGGGAAGAAGTTAGTGACTCATGACCAAGTGTGCAAATTAGAAATGCACACATTGGCTTCATGATTTCCCTAAGAGCTTAGGCATTCCACACCACCCCATTAGGCATGCCACCTCTTCTTGTTAGGATTGCCACTCATCCAATAGGCTAACCAACTCATTCTAGTAGGCTTTCTACTTCAAGAAAATCAATTGGACCACTTGGACAAGCAATGATGAAGTTGGAGGCTATAAATAGAAGAACCCTTCTTTCATTTCCACACTTTAGGCTCACATTCTCATCCTCCCTTCCCTTGCACGCCACTCTCTCTCTCTCTCTCTCTCTCTCTCTCTCTCTCTCTCTCTCTCTCTCTCTCTCTCTCTCTCTCAGCCAAGCTTTCTAGACCATTCTTAGGTAAGTAGAATTCCTAACTCTTGGCTAGGGCGATAGGCTACATCGTCGGCTTTAGTCGTGTGTACACCCATGAAAACCATGAACATGATTGAAGGTCTATGCTTTGTGTTTCTCATACCTTGCATGCTTGAGTGTGTTCATGCCAAGGGACAAGGCCGAGGTTCACCCGGCTTGGATGCAACGTTAGGGCGAGAAAACCAAGCCACAAGGCCTTGGTCGGCATTGAGGCGTGCCGGTTCCAAGTCTTGCTCGGAGTAGGGATCGGCGCTACACATTTGGTTCAAGTCACGAATCAAAGATTGTTCCCGACATATTATATTTTGAAGGTCATGACACACACATATTAGTTTGAGCACACCCACAGGCTTGTGTATGCATTGGCTAAAGAAAAAGATAAGCAACCGGCTTGCATGAAGCATTATGTGTGATCATTAAAGAGAAAATGCGCTCGTCGTCACATAGCGTTGGCGGCAATTCCTCGTTCATTGAATGGGATGCCCTAGTTGAGTTAGGATGCCTGGGTTGAGCCGGATGCCTCGGTAAACTAGCGCTGGGATGCCCTAGTTGAGCTAGGATGCCTTAGTTGAGCCC